GCACATAAAATACGTACGCATTTACACTGTCACGGCAATCGATTGCCGCACGTATCGCTTTTAAAGGTGAATGCGTACTTGCGTACCAGTTATATGCAGCCCTGTATGTGTGTGTGTACACACACTAGTTGTATAAATGATCAACATGTAACAATTATATTCAATCAACTGCTAAATTTATTTAGACAGCAACAAACAGAATGAAGAAGAAAAAAAAATCAATCAACACAGTAATTTAATCTTTCTTGTAACAGACAGCATTAACCCGGAGGCCCCGCTGGTCAACACAGGCCTGTAAAAATATTTCCATGTCCTCTTGAATCTGAAAACCAAAGAGGAATGGCTCCTTGAACTCTATGTTGTCTCCATCAAGCACATCCCTTAGGGCCTCCTGGCGGTGCTCTTCCGTCATGGTCAAATATTTGGGAAAGGTTATTTGCCCACTGAATAGAGCCTCATTCCCCTCAATCCACTCCATAGCGACATGTAAATCAGAGATGATTGCTGGTTTCTGTCAGAAGCATAGGAAGAAACGTTATTATATGTATATTATTATAACACTTTTTCAGAAATAAAACAATTTACTGTTAAAAGTAAGGTTTAATGTGTACACTGACCAGACTGAGTTCCACAGACTTGCGCTTTCTTAGTCTGAATACAGGTGCATGTTCACCTTTCAGCACAGCCTCTGATTCTTTTGTCCAGTGTGCAAAAACCTTCCCATAACTTATAATGGAGAAATACTGATATTGTTAATGTGTCTTAAATTTGTTTGAAACATGAAATCAAACAGATACACACACACACACACACACACACACACACACACACACAGACCTTCGGAGATCGAAGTTTTCCATTAGCAGCAGGCACCACCACTTCCGCAATGTCGGCATGTCTAACTATTAAAAATAAATTTTGTGTATTTAGTGACATTAGTGACTTCTTTGCACACATACTTTATTGCTCTCTAAAAAAAAAAAAGCTACTTACTATGGTGTAATCAAAGGGAGCATCCAGCACCACATATAAAGCAGACTGTTAATAAAAAATAAATGTCAATGTTCATTACTTATCTTCAAAAGCATGTTGACAGTCCAAAAATATCTGAATGACGAATCTTACCATCAACATGAAGATGCCACAGTCAACCCCGAACTCTTGGCTTGGAAACCCCTTTATTATCACAATGGGATAAAACACTCTTTAATCACATTTCATCAATATAACTATATAAG